GAGAGAGAGAGAGAGAGAGAGAGAGAGAGAGAGAGAGAGAGAGAGAGAGACTGGTAGCACCTTTTCTGATCAACAATTTTATATTCACATTTATAAATGCTGCTGATATTATTATTGTGTGTCTATTTATGTATATTTGTTTGGCTATACACACACACACATTTCTTTCTCTTGAAACAGCCATGAACTGTACACAAGACACTGTTAATGCATCTCTGTACCAAAATTAAAAATAATATACAAATTTGGATATAGTTTAGAATGCAATGAAATCACTGTAAGGATCAATTCATTCTTAAAGTAATATTTTAAATTACCTGGTAAACAGATTTGTTTGTTGATGGCAAAACAACTTTGGGTTTTTGCAGAATGAACCCAGGAAGGAATTTGAAAATTGGTGTGCCACCACTGAAAAAGCCCTGTTTTGAATGCTCACACATGTGGAGGGCTGAAATTGCCATGACTAAAAGCAAAGAGGACTCTCAACAGAACATGGTCAGGTACTCTCCACACTTGGTTGAAAAACAAGCAAGAAGCCTATTGCCATGTAAGGTAAGATTGGTGAAGTAGATGTAAGATTTAAACCCTGGTACTGTATAGTGGACTTGATTACTAGATTTTGCAATAGCTAATTTTCATTATTAGAGCTTCTTGTATTTACATAAAAAAACTCCACTTATATACTGAGCCTTCTCCTTGACTAGTCCATGCTAGATCCTGAATGATGGTTTACATTTTCAACAAGATGTAGTGCTATGGCCTTAATGAAGCTCTGACTTCATGAGTCATAATAACACATGAGGCCACAAACAGAGTCTCCTTAATGAATCTCAATACCCAGGTCAACTTTAATTGAAGTAAGATTGATAGAGGGTTTTTTTTTTCCACTGACACAACTGATTCAAATGAATGGGAATAAAAATCTGATAATATGTTATTATAGGTGTAGATTGTTCTTTGAGCTAAAGATAATAGCAAATTTCATCAGTTTATTGAAGATATATAGATAACTATACCTATATTAATAGCTGCAAAATTAAAATATTTGCAAAGTCTTGATAAAAATATCCAACTGAAATAATTTTGTTCATAGTCTGTGTCATTTTTTAAAAAACAAACAAACAAAGCATTTCAGACTAAGTGTATATACTTAATATCGCTAAATAAATATAAATTATTTTAGTTGCATATCTACTTTTAAAATCTGTTTAGGGAATTTTTCTTTCTGTGGTGCTGCCCCTAATGTAATAATATGAAGGCAGGTAGAGCCCTCAGACCAGAACCTCAGTGTGCATACATAATTCATAGTGATTTCCTGTTATCTCATTTCCATAAGAGAAACATTCAAAGCTGGAAGAAATATAGTCATCCAATGAGTTTCATGACTGAATAGAAATTTGAACCCGAGTCTCCTTGTTCTTTGATCAATAGTAACATCTTAATACTGTCCTGCTTCCTTTTGAGGTAGGCTTTCTACCTCTGCCAATTTCTTGTGTGACTTTGGGGGACCTGAATATTTTGTATATTCTTGAACTATTTCACAGTATAAAAAGTGCACCCTGATGTTCATTTTATCCTCTATCTGAGGATCAGCTTTAAAATTCTAATGGAAAATTCTTGGAAGCAGATTAAGCTGAGCTGTTTTTTGGGCTCAAGGCCATATGGAAAGAAAAGCTACTTCTCCACATCCCTACCATTAACTAGCAAAAATAAAGCATTTTTCAAGCTTTAATGAATTAAGGGAGATGAAAAGGATCAGCTATTTTTCAAGGTAGTGAATTTCAACATAATAATTCATTCTAATTTCTAGTACAGAAGGATCTGCGGATCTGATTTGATTTTATATCCTGGATTTATATATTTCAGTTGATTTATATACATTGATTTGGATATACTTTGCTATGGTTGTGAAGAACACAGGTAAGTGATCAGTTTGTAGGGTAGTAGAAGGCTCAGGTGCCCCATGACAAATCAACACATTACTTTTTATTAGTGTATTGTATTATAGGTATCAGAGTTTTCCATTGTTCGATGTATTCAAAGTAGATTTCCACTTTTAAATCACTGTGTTCAATAGCTATTTTCCATTAGCCTATATCACTTAATCATTCTTGGCCTATCCCTTCCACTTAAAGGTCTGTTTAAAGGTCTGTTATGCTATGGCTCTTGGCTCTGGACCTAGGAAATAGTCATACATATATACTATGTTGTGCAATGCTCTCTTCCAATTAATTTCCCATTGAATAGAGGTTGAAATGGAGACTATTTTTCTCTTAGAATAATGAATATAAGCAAAATGGAATTTCTGGGAGGTAATGAAATGGTAGCTGATCCCAGCAGGTGCCATCTTCCACACAAGCATCTCTTTTTTATTATTATTATAAATTTTTACAATTTTACAATAAAAACCCCTTTCCCAATCCCTCCCAACCCACCCCAAAACCCTCCCTCATTCTTCCCAGAGCTGAATACAGGGTTAACTAGAACTTAAAAGAAAAAACTTTTAAACTCAAATAAACCTCAAACAAATATGATTACATTCAATAAACAAATTGTTAAGTACTTTAACTCAATTATATAAAAAACAGAAAGAGAAAAAGAAGAAAAGAAAGAAAATAAGAAAAATAATAAGAGGAAAAAAAACAAAACTATTCTACACTTCTAAATAATATCTTAAACTTTAAATATAAATTATTCAAAAGCTAAATTATATTTTCTTATATCATACTTATATTGTATAAAATTTATCCATCTTTTCCACACCAAGAGGTACTTCTCTTGCTATTGATCTTTCAAAAAAGCTGAAATTTTTGCCATTTCAGATAAGTAAGAAACTTTAAGAAACCATTCCTACAAAGTAGGCAAAAATTCCTTCTTCCAATATTGTCCTATTAACAACCTTGCCGCTGTAATTAAGGTTAACATTAAAATAATCTCTTTGTCATCACAATCAAAAACAATACCCAACAAAAACAATTGTGGGGTAAATTCTATCCTTCTTTTGAAAATTCTTTGAATATTCCACCCCACACAAGCATATCTTATGCCACAATGTATTAACTTTCTCAGATGACTTTTGGATAAAAAGATTGGTTACCAGAATTTTCACATGGATTGTAATGTAAAATTAGCAGTGGTAGCAAAACACCTAACAAAGGGAGGGGAAACTATTTATTTTCATCTTTGAGCCTTTTCCTACCTCCTCTTTTGAGAATGTTGGTTCAGCCTCATACAAAAGCTCTCCTTGAAAAAGATTGAGTGAAAATGTGTAATGTAATGTAACAATATTTAAAGTAAACACTACAAAATTGCTACAACATGATTTTTAAAATCTTCCAGCTTTACTGAAAACCATTTGGCAGTAGCACATATTTCTACCTTTTAATTTAATTATTCTGGCAAAAACCTCTAAAGTAAAAAATCCAGCCAAAGTCCACCTCCCCATTTTATTGGCAAGCCAGGATGAATGCTATGAAGAGAAAAAACTATAATTGTTCTAAGCATATGAACTAAGGGAAGGAACAAAATGTTTTAAATCAATCCTATTTCTGAGATGAAAATTATCTGGAGAATTTTTAGTTGAATTTTTGGCCAAAAATGAATCTTTTTTTTTTTAAAGTATGGGTTTCATAGCTATTGCCATTGGCTGATTTACTCTGCATGTTATTGCTAGTCCACACACATTGTCTATTTCTCTATGTTACTTACATGATTTTCCCAATATATGCTTTGATTCCCCCTACACAAATAGTAAATTGTTTTTCCTTATATAGCTTTTTCTAGTACTTGGATATCTCTTTGGTCAGAAGGATATATCTATGAATGATGGAGATTCAGCTGAAAGCTTGCCTTTTACAAAGTTATTTTCAACTTCAACTTTTAGAATCAGAATTCTCTTTGATTGCTATACAGACACAGATAAATCATAGAAGTTTATCTTATACTCTATGTTGAACCATCTTCAAGATGTAATTTAACATGCACTGTAATATATCAGCTTCTATTTCTCCTTTCCCCTCCCCCTCTCCTCTCCCCTCCCCCTTCCCTCCTGTTAATTAATTTATATTAATATAAATTATATACAATATATTTATATTGATTCCCACTGATACTTTTTCAAGAAAGAAACTATGTCTGCTTTACATTGCCAGATACCAACTTTTAGGAATTCAAAAAGACTTTGTTGCCTTCCTTTAATGAAGCTTAGAATAAATTTGATGATGTAAAACAAGACAATCCCTCCCAATTATACTATATAATATATTTGAATATACCGTACATTTTTATAATACTAAATTTGAAAAATCAAATATGCAATTGATGCAAAAAGTATCTAAATAATGGTTGGTCATATGATGTGCTTCATTCTCTATAATTATGCGTTTTTTTCTGATTCAAAAAGCAAAAACATCAAATTATTATGAAATAATATAATTAATAATAATAATAATTAAATAATAATAATAAGTTGGAAGGGACTTCGGAGGTCATCTAGTCCAACCCCCTGCTCAGGCAGGAAACCCTATACCAGGAGTGTCAAACTTGCAATGTCATGTGACATATCATGATGTATCTCGACTTTTTCCCCATTGCTGGAGCTGGGGTGGGTGTGGTTTCGGAATGATATATCCGGCCTGCAAGCCAGCAGTTTGACACCGCTGCCCTATAACATTTCAGACAAATGGCTATCCAGTCTCTTCTTAAAAACTTCCAGTGTTGGAGCATTCACAGCTTCTGGAGGCAAGTTGTTCCACTGGTTAATTGTTCTAACTATCAGGAAATTTCTCCTTAGTTCTAGGAGTTATGTATCATTAGGATTAATGCTTATAGTTTTGTATGTAATTTTTCATCAATCTGATTATAATATTCACAAATCTGTCTATTCACAGATTTCTTTGCATGTTTTATCACAATGAAAATTCACAAAATGTAACTAGTGTTCCCATTTATTTCACAGCATATTATGGCTGTAATTTTCATGCGTAATAGCAGATACTTACTGGCAATTCTGTAAGGATCTTCCAAATTTCCTTCTGGCCATACTTTTTTGCAACATGAGCAGGGTTTTCTCCATACTTATTAGTAATTGTACATGCTTGAATGACATCGGGATCTTGGAGAAGAAGTGCAGCAAGTTTCTTTAATCCAAATTTAGCTGCACAATGGAGAAGAGTGGGAAGTTCCTCTAACTGCAAATCTGGATTGAGAAACAAAGATGTGCATATATATCACAAAACATTACACAATTCCTTTAGAAGGGAAAGAAATAAATACAGAAGGATGAAAGAAACAATGTAATCTAAAAAATTAACCATTGCAACCAATTCTACATGGGACAAACATCATGTTAATTAAAAACCAAAATCCATGAACAGTCACATGCCACGACTCCAAATCCTTAATCTCTACCCACACCGACACCAAACAGCACCAGTTCGATTGGAACAACACAAAAATCGGCCACATTACTACCAGCCAAGCTTGTGAGTCCATGGAAGCCTGGCACTTCACAAGCAATTCCATCAACAGACACATTGATCTACAAACAGCCTATGAACCCCTCAGGATCCAGCCAACTAGAGACAGCACCGACTCTCAATCAACCCACACAAACCCCCCTCCCACCAACAATTCACCTCCCAATAAACCTGACCTGAGGTAACCTCCCCATCACAAGACTCATCATAAGACTCACTGATAAGAGCCGAGGTGGCGCAGCAGTTAGAGTGCAGTACTGCAGGCCACTTTAGCTGACTGTGTTCAGCAGGTCAGCGGTTCAAATCTCACCGACTCAAGGTTGACTCAGCCTTCCATCCTTCCGGGGTAGGTAAAATGAGGACCCAGATTGTTGGGGGCAATGTAAATATATATATATACATTGCTTACTGGTGTACACTGCTTAGAGAGTGCTTGCACTTAAAGCAGTATATAAGTCTCATAAATAAATAAATAAATGATGTCTCACATCTGGCCCATCACAAGACTTATCACAGATCCTCACTTGACACACCCACACCTGAAGCCCTTACAAATAGAAGAACACTGACACTGACATCCCCTAAACTCTGCTGAAGATGTTACCTAGCTGGTAATGAAATGTTCAGAAACCAACCCACAAGCTTGGAGAATGAACCTTCACCCTCAAAGAAATATATACATTAAAGAGTCATGAAGCATGGTAGATGAAGACCAACTATTTGGTTGCTAAATATTGCTGACCCCTGCTCTTTCTGATGTCTCATTTTTGAACTGAGCTTCCACTGGACAGCCCTTCAAATGCAAGATTATCTTCAGTAAAGTTGGACAAAAGACAACTTTTTTGGGCATATAGATAGATTCTATATGTCCTTTTACATGCAGCTACCATTCCTTTCAAATTAAATGGATTTTTGAACAGCTATCATTATGCTTTTGGAACTCTATTTACAACTTAGTACAACTGAATAATAATTGTGTGTGTTAATAGAAATAAGTACAATAGAAATAGTACAAACAGCACAAAGAAGCCTGATATATATTTATGATCCATGAATTTTAATTGCACATTTATCTTTTTGTTGCTTAGTTAAACAAAATTCTGCAGAGATGTGCTGTGGTAATTGGAAAGATAATAGTTTCTTTCAATGGCATAGAGTAACAAATACAGCTAAAATGTGTGAAGAATATCAGTTTGCTAATCATATAGACCATTTAAAGGCTTCTGTAATAGGCACTATACATGTGAGAATGGGGCTTTTAAACATTGTCATGAAATAGGTCAAGAACTGAGGCTGTTCCTTTTATTTGTCACTTGAGTCCTTGTGAAAAAAATAAACCAAAACCAAATGTTCATTACAAGGCACATATTGTTATCAGCTGGAATAACATTACTCAATAAAACACTGAGTTCTTATTCAGCATCATTGGGATCATGCATTTTAAAAGACAAGGGATAAATTGCACAATGTAATAACAATAGCATGGTAATATGAAGAAATAAGAACTATGCTATATTAAACAAAACTCTCTCTAGTTCTGCACTCCTGTCCTTTCTTAGAAGCTAACCAAGCATTCATACATGGTAAATCATGACAACAGCACTTTCCTGCTCATGTTCTCCAGCAACTTGGTATTATAGGCTTCTCAGAACTTGAAAAAAATAATAAAAATTTGCAGAAATTTGATATATTCCTTCAATACCAGGAAAATCGAGCATTTAACCACTTCCACTGTCTATCAAATGGCTGTTAGCAAGAGAATTAAGAGATCCTTACCCTAGCAAATTTAGACATATTTATTAAAGTGAAAGCATTCAGTTGTCAAGATTTCTGCTATCCACCCCTTTTTTCTTTCAATAAATCTGATTAAATAAGATTTTGGGAGAATGTTGCTTTTAGTTGCCAAGAGCTCCACAGTAAGCTAAACAAAAAGCTGCACATTCATTTGTCTCTTACTTGGAAATTAAAAGTTCTTTTAATTTTAGGATCCATAGCCATTCTGTGGTGCTGACAGATCATAGGGTTTTCCTCAAAGTTGTAAGTGAAACTGGTGTACTAAGTGTGGGGCATGGATGTCTGTTACTTTTCCCCATGAGCTCTTTGATTCTGGATAGCCTTTCCAATAAACCAATTCCGCTTGTGTTTTGAGCCCAGATTGCTTCTACTTCTATTAGCCTTGTGAGGTAATCCAGACAAGAAGAATATCCAGAGATGCTATCTATATCTTTATTGCAAGATTGTATTAACATTATCTTGCAAAATTGAAAGATCGTGTCTCTCTCCTCGCTTTTACAGTCCAAGAAATTAGGGAAAGTCCCTTCTGAAAAGTTTGTTACACTGTCATTCCAATTTCTTCTTATCTGATCATTGCCTAGACTGTGGCTTTTCTTCCTGTTTGTCAAGATCAATACCACATAACATTATAACTTCATACTCATTAAATTCCTATACTAGAAGGGCAGTACTTTCCATGAAATCTTTCCAACATTGGAATGCTTTTATCACAAGAAAGTCCTTACTGAAGATGTTATAATTCTGTTCTGCTAGTAAAAGCAACTTGGAATAAAATGCACATGACAGGAGATACGTCCCCTTCTTTCTTTCCCTGGAGAAGAACCACTTCAACTGCCACATCGAAGCATTTGTCTGTACCATGAATTTGTACATGGACTCTTCGTGAACTTTTTTCAGTTCCTGGAATGTTGTCTGTTCTTGAATAGACCATATACACTTGCAACTTTTCTTTTATGAGTTGAGACAATGGTCTGGTGCATTCTGCAAAATGAGGAGTGAATTTTCTATAGAAATTGGCAAATCCCAATTGTAGATGGTCCAGAAGATCTGAAATAACGAGCAATGACTACTGGTCTCTAACTTATCTCTGGTTAAGAAATCTATAGTTATGAAATGTAAGATATAAGTTGTCATCTCCTTTAGGGATGAAAAATGTAAGTGCGTGTATACTGGAGATTTGAAAGGGTAAGTAAATCCTTTCTTTAAACCAATGGTGGTGAACCTATGGCACGGGTGCCAGAGGCAGCACTCAGAGACCTCTCTGTGGGCATGCTCACCATTGCCCCAGTCCTAGGCCTTCAGCTGGGTTTTATAAAACCTTTTTTCTTTAGGCCTCCGCTGTTGTGTACAAAAAAAAAAAAAAGGTTCAATCAATAAGTCAATTTCAACTTCTCACAGGAAAAAAAAAGATCTTGCAAAGTTGGAATTGATTGATTGAACTTTTTATCCCACCCAGTCTATTACCACTGCAGCCACGCTCACCCAATAGGCCACACCCCACCCAATGGGCCACACCCATCCAATGGGCCACACCCACTTGGCACCCGATGATACTTAAGTGGATTTTGGGTTGCAGTTTGGGCACTTGGTCTCTAAAAGGTTCGCCATCACTGCTTTAAACTGTTACCCAGAAATTCTTTCTAAATCATTAAGTCTCATGTAAGCATTGACTACCATCTCTTCCCAGACATTTGGATTCTGGGCACACACAAAATCACACACAATGCATTTGCTTCCTGTTTTTCCAATCACATTTGCAAATTTTAAGTATTTTTCTGGCAAGGCAGGAGAGTGACCCTGTTGAACCAGCTTGGGGTAGGGTGACAATGCTGTTAATAGCTTGATGATGGAAAAGAAATTGTTCCTTGCTCCCAGTACACATTTGGCTTATGCAACTGCACTCCATTGCAGAGATCAGAGAAAGGCCTTAAGGGACAGGAGGAAGAGTGGCTACCAATATAAAATTCAGATAAAAGAGACCCAAGTCCAGAGCAGGAATGTAACATGACTAAATGTCTTAGAGAATGTCAGAACGTGCAGTCACTTGGGAGGTTATCTGTGCCCTCGGGGTCACCTGAAACAGGGTACAATTGGTTGTGGGATCTTCCTGGAACTGCTGAAAGGGCTGCATTGTAAACTGGAGATAAGTGGCATCTTATTCCTCCCCCTCTGTTGAGGGATGGGTGTTCAATTCTAAGTAGATGGATTCTTTTACTTCTCTTTCAAACCAACGGTCCTCTCTATCCAAAATATATTCTTCCTTTTCCTCAAAGAAAAAAAACAACCCAGTCCAGCTGCCTTTTGAAGAAAAAAGCACCCTTCAGCTAGTACTAATCTACATGACATTGGATTCCTAGTCTGAGTTACCTTGAAGAGCTGATACCAATCAGTTTCCAGCATAGTGGGAATCTGTAAGGAAGTAGTCACACAAATGGCAAAAATTGTGTGTGATCTTATCCTGTAGTGTCAGTTGTAGGAAATAATGGTTCATAACCCTCGTTCAGCTCAAAGCAGCTACCATCTATTGTTTCCACCAACATTGGGCTTTCTGTGTCCTAGTGGTGGTGCAGTGGCTAGAGTGCAGTATTGCAGGCTATTTCTGCTGACTGCTAGCTCCCAGCAGTTTGGCAGCTTGATTCTCACTGGCTCAAGGCTGACTCAACCTTCCATCCTTCCGAGATTGGTAAAATGAGGACCCAGATTGTTGAGGGTAATATGCTGGGTAATATGCTGGCTCTGTAAATCACTTAGAGAGAGCTGTAAAGCACTGTGAAGCGGTATATAAGTCTAGGTGCTATTGCTAGTGGATAAACAAAACTTTTGTACTGCAGCTTCATCTATGAAATTAGACATTAGCTTGACTCAATAAAGGCAGAGAGTTGTACTTCCTGGCCCAAGTCTAAACATAGAGTACAAGTGCTTGTGTGCTGTCAGTAGTCTGAGCTCTCTTACATGTCTGAAGTGCTCCTTGTGGAGGAGGGAACTCTTGGATGAGGGCCCAGAAGCTTCCAGAAACTATTGCCTTGAAGCAATTTGGACACTTGCTTCAACATTATATTACACTGGGTCTGTGTATTATAGTTTATTATTGTGTATTATAATTCTCTTGGTGTCAGCACTGGATTTCCTCCGATTTTTAAATTTCACTTACAAAATCAGATATGTCCATTATTTTCTCTGTCAATTCAGAACCAACAAGTATACTTTACTTATTAAATGGAATAAACATTTTTATGCTTCCCAAACAGATAATCGTTTATTCCCTATCATCACCACCTTATTCAGATCCCACTGTAATTACTGTTAATTACAACTCTTGACCTGTAAACCTACATTTTCACTATCAACCAGGAAAATCTGAATGCACGAACAGCAATTATCTCAGAAAACCACAGTTCACCACAGCATGAGGTGCTTTTTAAAATCTAGATGAATTGGATAAGAACCCAGCAAGGAACATGTGCAAATAATGTTTCGGAAAATATTGTTATTGCTTTACCTTTATTTATTCCTACATGATTATTGGGCCCACAGAAGAATATATAGTTTGAATTTGTACTGAACTGCAGCACTGCTAAAATACATGTCAATGCTGTAGCAAGAGGAAATCAGATTCTGGCATCAAAACGTCCATGATGGTGACCGGCAATTTGTAGCTCTGTAATAAAGACTTTAGGAAACATGCCTGAAAGTTCTTTGAAGTGCTTCATTAGTCGGAACCCTGACAATACATCTTGGACTAAAGAGGCTGGATAAAGGGGAAAGCTTGCTGCTGTTTTCCATTATTCATGCCTGAGGTGGTTGCTTCACACTATCTTAATGGTAGGGGTAGCCTTAATTTATGATGATCCTCAGATTGTCAATATGGACAGTTAAATTTTGTGTTTGATACACACTGCCCTTAAATGGGATTCATTTAGGAATATTAATATTGTTTTATAGGTGGGATATATCTATGTATGTATGTGCATCTATCATCTACATCTACATGTATGGATTAACTAGAGTGCTTGAATGAAAACACTGATGACAAAGACCACAGAGAGTCAACACATGGAGAGAATATTTACCTCTATGAAAGCAGTGGTTCCATGCTATGAATATGAATGGAATAAAATATAGAATGGTTCCATGCTATGAATATGAATGGAATAAAATATAGAATGGTTATTAGGATATGTTCAGTTTATGTTTAAAACTTCTAAAAATGATTGTGGACACTTTAAAAAGTTTAAAACACTCAAACATCCAGTTTCAGATGTAATTTTAGCAAACAGTATGGTGACCAAAGCAAGTGACTCCTTCTCCTCCTCTTCTTCCTCCTTCTCCTATTTCTTTAGAATAGAAGGCATTTTGGAGAAAAGGTTTATGGCAGGATAAGATAATCAGGGCATTAGCTCAAGGTTGCATTTTTTTTCTTGTGGGCCAAAATCAGACTCTATGTCATGTAGAAGCTTCATGTCTAATCAAAATATCTTGATGAAATCATATCAGAAAAGATAGAAATGATCATCCAAGGGGAAGGAGATTATTGCATATTCCTAGAATTGTTTTTGTATGATACAGCTTGGAGATATTGGTATAACAAAGAAGAGATGGAAGAGGAATCTGCAAGTGGAGACCCAGCAGGAACGAGGAGGAACAGGCAGCACCAAAGAACAGATCTGCCAAACAGGCTGTTGGTGGAGCTGTCAACGCTGCTAACATCGGATGTTCTTGCTTTGACAACAGATGGAAATGTAGCCATCTTTTCTCTTTCGCTTTTAGAGTTAGAGGATCTTGGGAGGGGAGATGTGGATGAGAGTCCAGTTAGTCATAACAACAATAACTCAGCTGTGGGAATCAAGGTTATTGTGCCCAGAGCTGATAGAGATTTGGCGGGCTGGAGAGCTGGGGAGAAAGCCAGCGCTTCAATCTAAATTGGGGAATGTGATTTATGACTGTTAATTGGAGAAGGGAATTGTGCTTTGCTATTTTGTGTGTGGGGGGGAATTCAGTTTTTGGCTTTAGCTATGTAGTGCCGATGCTTTGTTTCTCGAATAAAAGATTCTTTAAGGTAAACAATGCCTCAAAGTTCTTTTAAAGAGTTTCATCTGTCGAAACCATGACATTACCTTTTGGAGGACATTAGTGAGGATTGCCTGTCAAAGGAATCAAAACCCAGCCTACCCAGAAATTTTCTTCTTTTCTTATTGCCCCCTCTTCCACGTGTCAAAGTACCAGTGGATATTGTGTGAGCCAGGGAGGGAGGTAGTGAAACATATAAAAGACTCTCTGTATAGTACTGTGTACATTATGTACAGTATAGTTTGTTAAGCCATATTGGAAACATGCACAAATTATCTATCAAACAGTACCACAACAATAAACTTTAATATGGATTAATTTGGAGAATCAAGGGGTGAATACACTTGTAACATTTTCTCACCCTTTCAAAGAAGAGAAAAGGAAGGACAACTGGAGCTGGTGTACTACCTGATACTAATAAGGAAAACCTGTATCTCTACTTGTGCTCACATGTATACAGTAATTATTTTTCAGTTAACAATTTCAGAAGAAGACTCCATAGGGGGTAAACTAAATAGATCTCATTGTGGACCTTACTTTGCAGTCATTCTCTATGGCTCTAAGATTTAAAAGAGGGGATCTGTTTTGGCCTAAATGGGACTTCAGTTTACCTCTTTTCTCTGCTTTTTCAGAAGTCTGCTCTGGGCAGAAAATGGCAGCTAACATGATGCCACATTTGCCCATTACCTTCAAATCCAATTCAATGGAAGGAATTAAAAGCGATTCATGATGGCCTGTACATACATTCACTTTCACCCAGAAGTTAATGGGATCTAAGCTATTGGTGAGTAATTAGCAACGGGATCTCAGAGTCATGGGGGATAGCTCAATAAAAATGCCAACTCAGAGTGCAGCTGTTGTAAAAAGTGTATTTAAAATTATTACCAGCATTTCAGCAGTTCCCCTCTGTAGAAAGACTAGAATATCTGCAGTATTTTAGTTTGAAGTGAAAAGAAAATAAACCTACATAAAATAATGTATGGAATAAAAAATATGGACAAAATTTTTCCCCACTTCCATTATGTGGTATTGTCCTTGAAAACTAAATATAGATAGATTCAAGACCAATCAAAGTTAGTACTTCTTTAGATGTCACAGTTTAGGTATGTGATTTCATTGCCATCAGATGTGGTGGAACACAGAATCACTGGGCTGAAAGGACTCTTGTCTTGTAGTCCAACCTTTATCCAGACGTTATACCATTGTAGTTAAAAGGATGTCCAGTCTATTTTTGAAAATCTCACATGAAGCCACTGAAAAAGGGGACTAGACAAATTCATGGAAGATTATCTATTTATGGCTGCTAGTCTTGAAGCCATTTACCACTTCTGAAATGATTTTTTAGCATTCCTTAAATACAACATTGAAGAGTGACTACAGTGGAAGAAAAGTGAATAGGCCATTAACTAGTTTTATCCTACTCTCATAGGTACATTCAGATTTTCTAAATTTCTCCAGGGGCCACTGTTGTGGTAAGAAAAGGTAAATTTGAATACTAACTATAATTTCACTACCTTACTTGAAACAAACAAAGATTCATTTATTTTACCAGTGAAATCTTTAAAAAAAATGCATTGTGAGGGGCTTCTGATTAATGTTAAAAGCTGTCAGCCAGTCAGCGAAATATATTTCTAGTATACATCATCAAATATAATTCTTCACTTCATTTCTCCTTTTATATGTTTCCCCAGTCTCTTGTGCCTGGGCAGTCTCAATCTATTTATTTATTCCAGTTATATCTTTCCAACTCTTTCTAGGATTATGGAAGTTTACAGTCATAAATAAACATTTAAGACATCCTTAGATAAAATAATCAATGAACAATTTAAAGCTCTCACAGTAATAATGTAATAATAATCTATAAATTAATATAATCCAGCCAAATAATATTGATGAAACAATTATTAGCCAATAATAAAAAACAATAAATTATGAACACTATCTTCTTCACATTTTTTAATTGGGGTGTGGTGTTTTGTAACACTTGAGGTTCTCACAAAGTGTGCCCTGTATTAGCAAGTATGAAAAATGACCCTGGTATGAACCTTCTCAGTAAACAAAGCAGACAAAGGATAATATACGTACATACCAGTTTCCTGGTCATGATCCGTGACTTCATTTGGAAAACTGCTAAAATCATGAGAAATAATTGAACTTTTCAGCAAGAGTGTGAGAATGTTATCCATTTTCTCTGCTGAGGAAAACTTGAAAGCCTGTGGGGTGAGATAGAGGCAAGGAAAACAAAGAATAACCTGAGGGCATGCAGATTTGTTCCATCGTCCAAAAGCAAAAAGCGCAAGCTCATGTGGGAATATTTTGCACCACTGAAACTGGAAACAGCTATTAGTTTTTAAAGAGTTGCTGGTGGTCTGGAAAGAAGGATAATTTCTCAGATTGGTTTAAGGGCATAGGAAATCACTGAAGATCAGAGGAAGTTTATCATGGCAACTATTTCCTGGAGAAACACAAGTCCTGAAAAATAATTAAAGCAGTGTTTCCCAAACTTGACAATTTTAAGGCATGAGGACTTCAACTCCCAGAATTCCACAGCCAGCGTTGCTTAAAATTGTCAAGTTTGGGAAACACTGAATTAAAGTAATTAAAAGACATTAATATGCCAGAGACAGCAGCTGTGGTGGGCTTCTTTAATGGAATTTACAACACTCAATGAAGTGGGCTACTTCTGAAGATCCTCCAGTAGTGGAGTAGAATCTTTTCCTACCTTTCAGAACTCAGATAGAAAATGTTAAAAAACCCCTGCAAAATCTGTTTTCAGAGGTGACAGTAGGTTATTTATGTTCATACTGAACAGCAATGCCTGCATTGTTATGACTCCCGCAACTGACTAAAAAATGTTACCAGATAAAATTCTTTTTCAATAAGGTTATCTACTGTCACAGGTTGGCTATGAAAGGTAAATATATCTTTGAGGTTTAGATGCAAGAAACTTCAGGATAGTGCCATGTAGAAAAGAAATATTATTTGAAAAAAAGAAATATTTTGCCCCCTTTCTACCAGATTTGTTTGATTTATTTAAAAAAAGCCACATTGCTTTTTAAATTTATTTGAAAGGAGAAGAGGATGTTGGAGAAATTTCTTTGGGTGAAGTGTGGTGGCATTGCAGTTATTTAGAATAGAATAGAATAGAATAGAATAGAATAGAATAGAATAGAATAGAATAGAATAGAATAGAACTGGAAGGGACCTTGGAGATCTTTTAGTCCAGCCCCCTGCTCAAGTAGAAGAACATATACTGTCTCAGACAGGCGTAGGTTTAGTCTCTTCTTAAAAATATCTAGTGATGGAGTGCCCACGATTTCTGGAGGTAAGCTGTTCCACTGGTTGATTGTCCTCACTGTCAGGAAGTTTCTCCTTAATTCCAGATTGCTTCTCTCTTTGATCAGTTTCCTTCCCTCTGGTGTTTTGGTGAACAACCTGGCCCCCTCTGCCTTCTGGAAGCCTCTCAGACACTATAACACTGCTATCATGTCTCCCCTATTTCTTCCTTTCTTTTGACTAGCCAAACCCAAGTCCCGTAGCTGTTCTTTGTATGTTTTAGTCTCCAGGCCTTTGATCATCTTTATTGCTCTTCTCTGAATTTTTTCCAAACTCTCAACATCTTTTGTGATATGGTGACCAAAATTGCCTGCAGTATTTCAGGTGTGGTCTTACTGGGGTTTTATAAAGTGCACTAATACTTCACGTGATCTTGATTCTATGCCTCTGTTTATACAACCCAGGATTGTATTAGCTTTTTTGGTTACTGCTGCACATGGCTGGCTCATAGTCAAGTGATCATCCACTAGGACTCCAAGATCCCTTTCACAGTTATTGTTTTTAAGCCAGGTCTCGCTCAACCTGTATTTGTACCTTTGGTTTTTCCTGCCTAATTGTAAAACTTTGCTTTTCTCCATATTAAAACTCATTTTGTTGGCTAGGGCCCATTGTTCAAGTTTGTCAAGATCTTTTTGGATCCTGAACTTGTCTTCTGGGGTGTTGGCTACTCCTGTCAGTTTGGTGTCATCTGCAAATTTGATGAGTTCCCCTTCAATTCCCTCATCTAAGTAATTGATGAAGATATTGAAGAGTACTGGGCCTAAGAAGAAACCTTGTGGTACCCCACTGCTTACTTCTTTCCATGTGGATGTAGTGCCATTGAGGACCATTCATTGAGTATGGTTTGTCAGCCAACTACAGATCCACCTGGTGGTGATGTTGTCTATTCCACCTTTTGCTAGTTTACCAAGGAGTACTTACTACATGCACTGTGTTTCGCTGGTCTACTAGTTTAGTCACTTTATCAAAGAATGAGATAAGATAGGTTTGGCATGATCTGTTTTTAACAAACCCATGCTGGCTACTAGTTATGACTTTGTTTGCTTCTAGTTGTTTGCAGATCTGTTTTTTTATGATCTTTTCTAGGATCTTCCCAGGTATTGATGTTAAACTGATTGATCTGTAGTTTCCTGGGTCCATTCCCCCCCCCCTTTCTTGAAGATGGGGACCTCATCAACTCTTTTCCAATCCTCAGATATTTCCCCGGTGCTCCAGGATTTATGAAAGATGTAGTACAACGGTTCTGAGACAACATCGCCAACTTCTTCAGAACTCTGGGATGCAATCTGTCGGGTCCCAGTGATTTATATTCGTCAAGGTTGGATAGGTGTTCTCTTACCATTTAATTTTTGTTTCTAGTATGTCTTTTGCAGTGGGTTTTTTTCTTGGTATGTTGGCTATAATTTCTTTTTATGTGAAGACTGAGCCAAAGTATGAGTTAAGCAGCTCTGCTTTCTTCCTGTTGCCTGTAATTTCCTTGCCATCTTCTCTTTTTAGTGGGCCTACAGTTTCCTTGACTTTTTTCTTGTTGTTAATATGTTGGAAGAAACTTTTTTTTATTGTCCTTGATTTCTGTTGCAAGTCTTTGTTTGTTCTGAGCCTTTGCTTTCCTGGCTTCACAGTTACATGTTCTGGCTGTCTGCTGATAATCGGCCTTAGGTTTCCATTTTTTGTATTTGTCCTTTTTGTCTTTCAGTTTGTTAGAGAGATCTTTGTGCAACCATGCTGGTTTCTTCTTGGATTTCTTATTTTTCTTTCTCAATGGTATTGTGATGGTCTGGGCTTTTGTGATCGCACTTTTCAGGGTTTCCTACACTTCTTGGGTTGTTTTCCCCTTTAGGATTTTTATCCATGGGATCTTTTCTAAGTTCTCTCTGAGTATATTGAAGTTGGCTCTTTTGAAGTTTAAGCCATTGGTTGGATTGTTTTTTATTGCTAGTGTTTGCATTATATTAAATGCAAACACATGATCACTTTCACCCAAGGTTCTGGCAATTTCGATTCCCTCTATCACTTCTTCTCTACTTCTAAGGATTAAGTCCGGCATAGCTTTATGTCTAGTTCCCTCCTCCACCTTTTGGGTGACAAAGTTGTCGGCTAGGTTGCTTAGGAATCTGTTTGATCTCCTGCTCACTGCAGAGTTTGTCTCCCAGTTGATATCTGAATGTTGAAGTCTCCCATTACTACTGTGGTATGCTTCCTACAAGCATTTGTTAGCTGGTGGGCAAAGAGTTCATCTATTTCTTCTGATTGTTTGGGTGGCCTATAATATACACCTATGATAATGTCATTTTTTTTCTCTTTTATGTTGACCCATATACTTTCTGGAGGGATTTTATATTTGATCATGTGCATTTCTGCAGATATGTAGTGTTCTCTTACATATAGTGCAACTCCCCCTCCTCTTTTTGTAACCTGTTTCTTTTGAACAATTTGTATCCATCCATCAGTCCATTCCATTCATGGGTTTCGTCCCACCAGGTTTCTGTTATGCCAACTATGTCATACCCTCCCTTGTGTACTATTGCTTCTAGTTCGCCTTGTTTGTTCCCCAAACTTTGAGTGTTGGTATGTAAGCATTTAAGACTTTTATGCCTGTCCATGGGTGTTTCCTGTATTTCCTGATTGTTGTTTGAGTTTTTCTTTTTTTTCATCACTGCCTACCTCATTGTTGGATTTGTTATGTGAATTTCATGGCACCATTTCCTCATGTCATGATCACCAGGCTCTTTGGTATGTTTTTAATTAATTACACAGTAGGATGTCATTTCTAGTTTTTCCATTGGGAATCAGGTTTATGTGCAGGGAGGAGATTGAGAAAGTAAAGGTGGTAGCCATAACTGAATGAAATCAAAGACTTTGTCATATGTAAAAGGATGTGGCTTCAGTGGCAAGGTTGTGATTGCCATCTTGTTTGTTTATTTGATATTTTTTTTTACCACTTGCTTGCAAATATCTTTGTTGACAAGTAGCCGGGCAAGTTTTAGATTGGTGGAAGGTACGTAATAGAAACCATTAACAGTTGCACTTGGTACCACTAGTCCTCAGAATAAAACTGAAAACTTCTACCATCCTGGGAATAAGATTATAAAATGCCTTTTTTTCTGAGGAAAAAAACATTTTTTTATGAGGACGAAAACATTTGAGAAGCTGCAAGCCAACATTTCAGGCTACTATTTGCTAGCCCTACATTGCCTTAAGGTATTGTTTGTTTTGGTAACTGCAACTGTGCTCTTTTGCCTTTACATTTTATTAGTTGTCAGCTCTCCATCCATCAAGAACAGGGCAATCTATCACCAGGAAGAAAGCAACATGTCTGTTGTTCAAGACACATTTTGAGCTTTCACAATGCAAATTGTCTTCTGGTAATGGCATATTAGAAAACAGGACAAGCCTGTTTTTTGTCCTCTAGCCAATGCTGGGTATTGTTTTTCCTGGGCTTGGCATGATTGGAGCTTTGATTCCAGCAAATTGGATGGCCACATCTACGTCTTCATATTCCTGAGTAGAGGAAGCAGAAATAAAGCAAAGTAACCACTGTGTAGCTTAATTTCTTTTCTCTACACCAGTGTTTCTCTACCTCTGTCAAATTAAAATGCATGGACTTCAACTCGCAGAATTCCCTAGTGGTTGGGGAATTCTGGAAGTTGAAGTCCAAACATCATACAATCATGGAAGTTGAGAAACACCACTCCAGGGTGTCTAGATAGCTCCCAGACATCATAGCATAGATGCTACTCTCTCACTGAGAGACTGAGCTACCAAACTGGCTGTATTTAGAATGGCTTGGAGATGATAGGTCAGCTTTTCAAACGTTTCCTTCCTCAAAAAAAAAAAAAAAAAGGTTTTATAATCTTATTCCCAGGATGGTAGAAGT